GGGGGGGAGAATGAGGGTCTTGGGGGGCATCTACTGATTTTTCTTTCAATCTGACTGCGGGGCTGTACTGCACTTGCTGAGAACAGCCCAAATCCACTGTGAAGCTTTTGGGGACGGGGGGGTTACGTGGTGGGGGTATAGGGGGACCATGGGTGGTATAGGCGTGCTATACGGAGTATTGGCAGGGGGTGATGAGGGTGTTGGGGGGGTGTATTGGGGTGTTGATCGGGTTATCGGGGGTTATGGACTCGCAAAATATATATTTTTCTTCTATTCTTATTTTGTTTGCGGGGTGCCGACGACTGCTGACTGGCAGGTGCCAACCAGCCGACCAATCAAAGGGCGCCAACCATCAGCCTGTGCAACCCCGGTTCCACATACAAACCCTCCAATGGCATTCACTACAAAGTCTCATTCTTGCTTGGGAGTAAAGGGATACTGAAGGGTGAGAGGTATGGGAGGAAAGTTGCAGAAAAGGGGAGAGGGGTTACTGGTGTGGACGACGCAAACCCAGGCTTACGATGATTCATTACTCGACTCCGGATCAGGTTCCAGATGCATCAGCAGTGTAAGCATTCGGCTAAGGAACTCCTCCAGCCATACCGACCAATCCAAAGGAATAACAACACCCTTCCCACTGTCCTCTTCCCCGATGCATCCAATCTAACATAATAGAAACAATTGACAACAACCAGGGCAATCAAGCGCAGACACAAAGAACACAAACCACTGGAAACGTCAGCAACAGCCCCTTGCCGTTCATGCAGTCATTCAGCTGCCTTACAGAAGAATAGACATTCAAATGACAAATCCTGAACATGATAAACCGTACACACAATCAAATGCCGATAAAACTGTAAAGCCCGTCCAGCTCACTGTGTATCTCATTCCATAACCAGCTTCAAGCCTCTTGGAATCATAGGCACCGTGCTTAATGACTTTAATATCCTTGAATATACATGCATGAACTGCACGTGGGAGAAGCAGCAACAGACATGAAGCCACAAGACGTCTTTCTTCTTGACCATGCAAAACCGGTTTGCAAACAAACGATTTTCCTGCGTAGAGCACGTTTACTCCCTGGCTTGAAAGTCCATCAGGACAATGATCAGTTACAACAGTCATCCAAGCACACATTCCACTCTTTACAGTGACCAGAGTCTTGAAGAAGAAAAAAAGAATAGGCAGAGTAGAGGAGGAGGAGGAGGAGGAGGAAGAGGAAGATGATGAAGAAGAGGACGAAGCAGAGGAAGAAGAGAAAGAAGAGGAAGAAGAGGACGAAGAGGAAGAAGAGGAGGAGGAAGAAGAAGAGGAAGAAGAAGAGGAAGAAGAAGAGGAAGAAGCACAGGAAAAGAAGGTGAAGAAAAAGAAGCACAGGAAGAGGAAGATGAAAAGGAAGAAGCACAGGAAGAACCAGAGGAAGAAGTACGCACATGAAGCAGGCCCACAAGGGTACTGTGGATAGGGTTCGGCTTTTCCGTTTTCCTTCCTCCCCCCTCTCCAACAAGAAAAGAAAAGGCATGGCCTTAGAGATGTGCTACTTTCTCGTGAGAAGCATCCACCCTAGTTCCAAATGCAGCATTGGCAGTAGACCTGTTTGAAAGGCACTCCACGATGCAGACCCAAAATTCGAATATCAGGGTCAAGTTCTCATGCCAAGGGAGGCCAAGTCGGTACCTTAGGAGTCAAGTCCAACAGGCACCCGGTAAACAGTCACATCAAAAAAGGCAAAAGTTGCATTCCGTAAGCAAAAGTCACGTCTCATATTGAAAAGTCATGTCCCACAGGCAAAAGGACACTTCTCCAGGGAAAAGTCGGGTCCCAGAGGCAATAGTCACACCCCACGGTCAAAAGTCATGTTCCACAGACGAAAAGCCGTGACTCACAGACTCGAGCAGCAGCACACCAATGAAAATTCGGGAAAAGTATCACGCCTTGACATTCTGAAGCAAGCAGGCCGTGGGCATGTGGTACTGGGTCCAAGTCAAGCCAAAGGAAGCCGAGGCTGGAACGGATTGAGGCTCAATCCAAGTCAATATATGGGCTGGCCAGCCACATTTCAGAGAAGAAGCTCGTTCGTCAGAAGTGAGGAAGTGCTGCTGAGGCGCTTTATCTGCGAGTAGCATGCGTGCGAAAGCCCTGCTGGGCAGCGCTGCACTGAGAGGGAAGGTGGCCATAGCCGCAGAAGTTAGTAGTAGGGATAGAGCTGAGAAGCAGCGGATGTATTCAGAGTCAAGATTCTCAAGTAGGGAGACAGAGACAGAGACAGAGAGAGTGGAGAGAGAGAGAGAGAGAGAGAGCGCATGCATGAAGAAGAGGGACACAGAGAGAGAGAGAGAAGACAGAGAGAAAGAAAGAGAGAGTGAGCCAGGGAGAGAAGAGAGTCACCTACCTTAGATGAGGGTGCTGGTATTGGGTTGCTGAATTCAGCACTGTTGAGCGCTTGGTGACTGGATCTCCAGACCTGTTTAATGTGATGATTTGTTGCAATTTCTAAGCTGCGCATATCTGGACCTTGCATCTCTGGACTCCAGTGTGGATTTCGTGTGTTGCTAGTAATTGTCGTATTCTACTCAGAAGATGTGGCATACTGCGTAGCCACACGGGCCCTGCAGGGCCCGTCCCGGACATTCAGCCTAAAAGCCTAGAACTTAGGGCTTACAGGCCCCGGTCGTTTCAGCCTGAAAGCTGAAAAACGAAGGCCTGCAGGCCCTACTCCGTTTCAGCCTATTTCTGGGTCTTTCAGACCCAGAGTTTTTCCAGCCTGAAACGGAGGGCCATTTTCAGGCCCTCATTGTTTCAACCGCCCCTAAGACTCAGGCACGGAAACAGGGTTTCAGGAACAGGCCAGAAATAGCCTGTTCCCACGACCTTGAGCAGGAGCTGCAGCGGCAGCCCCTGCCTCCGATCGGCATTGGCAAGAGCAGCCTCCTGGACTGCTCGCCTGCAGTCAGGAGGCACTCGTGGTAGTACATAGGACTTCCCAGGCACTCCACGGGGGGGGAGAGTCAGTAGGCATGAGTAGTCTTCAGGATTCAGGCAGCACTCAGGAGGAGCGCTGCAGTAGTCTTCAGCGCTAGGCAGTAGTTAGCACTAGCTGTAGTCTTCGGCGCTGGGCGCCCATAGCTAGAGTAGTCTTCAGCGCTGGGCGCTGGTAGGTGGTAGATCGTAGAGTGGGAGAGATACTGGCGGAGGCCAGTGGTACTTACCTGTGGCGCCATCGCTCCAGCTCCATCTTCGAGGTACCTGCATCAAGGCGCCAACTTCACAGGTTAGTACTGGACACAGAGAGAGAGAAAGTTCTTCTTCTTCCTCTTCTAAGTCCACCATCTCTTCTCACCCTCTCGCCACCTGACTTCTCAGACTACGACAGAGAGAGAAAGAGTTGTGACTTGAGACTTGACGACATTGCATCCAGACTGGACATTTGGGATTCAGACATTTCGACGAGGGACTATTTGGGCCTGTGCCGAGACTTGGTGTTGACGACATTCCCATCTTCCCCTCCTCTTCGTCTAACCCCTCCTTCGTCTGTGTATGGTTGGGGCTGGCGCAGTCTTCTTGTGTGAAGCGCCAGACCCCCCCTCACACCAGATAACGATGATGATGATGTGTGTTCAGGGCTGCATTGCCATATTGATTGTTCGGATCATTCGTATCTCAGTCTTCCGCTGTGTTATCTTGTACTTTGTATTGAGAGGTCGGTTCTTGTTCTGGTCTGCACGTTACAGTATGCAACAGAAGATGTTGTAGTAGAGGTGAGCAACATGTGAACATTGGTTCTTATCCCTGTGCAACTGGCGTTGCATTTTCTGTCGCATTTAGCCCACATCACGACTTCTGCATCAATTCCCTTCCATGTCACCAAAGCCTCTAGCAATTGCACTGTCATTAGGGTTGTTCGCTGCAGGGTGAGTTCACAGCCTGAGGCTCGTGTTGGTGGGCTGGACCACTCAGCGGACAGAAACGAGGTCAGTAAGTAAGACCTACATGAAATGGACAGCCGGATAGGCAGAAATGGGTGAATGGATGAGACGGGAGCAATTACAGAAACACTCACATGACCAGGAAGTACAAGCCACAAAACAGGAGACTACCATTTGGTCTTTTTGAAACAGATGCATGACTACGAGACTGTTCTCAAACGGGGTACAGTGAAGTGAAATTAAAACTCACACTTGAGAAGACCGAATAGTAGAACTGTAATGTTGCTACCGTCTTCGGCGGGTCATTTGCATCTATTCCAGGCAGAGTTCTCAGCATTGCTTCAGCGATCAGTTCTCTGCCTAGAGCTAGTGACACCCCATACTCTCCATTCAGCTGACCTTGTTCGCCATCATCCATTGTCGACTCCTTATCAAAATCAATTGCATATTCATCTTGTCTCTCCATTCTGTCCGGGGATGATGCAAGCAAGATTGCCCTTACAGAGAGAGCAATGGTTGTTATCGCTGACACCAACTGATGAGTGGCCGTGACCTGAAAACACCACATTCATGACGCAAACAGTGCAAACAGTTACTATGTAAGGTTCTACACAAGTGAGATAGAGACAAAATCACAAAGGATGCAAAAGATTTCCACCACAGCAGGACACCAACCACGTCAATGAGGCCTGACTAATGCATTAGACCCCTGTTCAAGAAAATAACAGTGTACAAGGCCATTATTACTCAGGTTCCCCTATAAAGTACGAGTTTCTCCAATTGTTGGACACTTCATTGCAGTCTATCATCCACCTGCATGAAGATCCCAATAGAACGAGGTATTGATTCGCTTAATCTGTGAACGTTTACAAGGGAGCACCTTTCACTTGGAGACAAGCAGCTAACCTGACCCAGCCCGCAACTCCCCTTGTATGCAAAAACTCTTGTGGCCTGCCTCGTTACTCACCCTCCCAAGACCCCTTCCCATATAAAGCGGTTTCCAACCCACAACGGCATTCCTCCTTGCACTCCCTCCACAGGTACCACATTGCTACCCCCTCTACAGTTTCCCTCACCCTCACATGAATACAAAGTAACCTGCAATTCCCCTTGACATTCTCCTCCCCCCTCCGCTCCAGTTATGTGGAGCATATGAGAGCCCTTAAACTCCCTCTTACTCCTTTCCTAGATATGGAGTCTCTCACAAACCTGCTCGACAATCGATATCAGCTAGCATCGGCTTGCACACAAAGCATACTCCGGCCCACCTCAAGATTGATGTCCACTTCTCCACCCCTTTCCTTGTAAAGCATTCTGCAACATCCCTTACAATCCTATCCTGCTACAACCCCTTGAAAATCCCCACTGTAGCCAACTGCATACAAAGCATCTCGCCCTCTTCGACAATCACATCTTCCACTCAAGGCACCTTGCAACCCCCTGCACCAGACACTCCCCCTCACTAACCATATTGCATGCAAAGCATTTTGCACTCTGCATCAACACTCCATAAACTGCCCCTCACTTTGGAGATGGCATGTTGTGTGCAAAGCATCTTGAAATACCACTTGAGATTCTCCCTCCCTCACCTCTGTATGTGACGCCTCTCGTAACCTCCAAAAGCACCTCTGCATGTGACACATCCAGTAGCCTCCAAATGCATTTCCTCTCCCAAACTTCATCCAGAACGTCCAACAGAACCCCTCAAGACTTCCCTCTCCCCACCTCCCCCTTCGCCATAATACCGAAAGCATATTGTGCCACATCTCGCAAACCCCCTAGGCATTCCCACTCCCATCCTTTCTTAGTCCAAAGCATCATGCAGACCCCATTGATATTCGACCCTTCACTCCGTCCCCCATCATAAGAAAATCCTTGTGTGACCTCCTTCAACACTCTCCATGCCCATCATCCTGTGTGCAAAGCATATTGCAAGCCCCAACAATGTTCTGTGCAGCCACTGCTGTGAGAATCTTTGCAGCCAGGAGCGCATGGAATAGTGACAACAGCCCCACAAAACACGATACGGTGCAGCCACAACAGCCATGCAAACACCACGTAGTACCAGCGATAACACTGAACGCAGTGTGTGTTCCAACATCCGAGCACCTGAAGACCGCAACAGGTTATCAGAGAGGTTGTGTGGTTGTTGCAATCACAGCCATCGGGTTCTTTGCCCATTACAGCTCTTACCAATGCACCACAGCTCCTGGCCAGCAACAACCTGATCAGAAATATGGAATCAGGACTTACAGACAGGCACTTGGCATCTCTAACTTGAGGTGCAACTCATTGATAAGAGAACAGGATGACCATCGGTCGCAGGAAAACAAAAGTGAGCCCAAAAAGTCTGTGTTTCCCACATGGATTTCCTCATGAATACCACGAACCAACACAGGAACAATTAACGCACTAACTCTGGTTAGCTTTGATGTTCTATATCCAGGCGTTGCATTTAACCACGATTTCCATAACACAAGTACTTGGAAGGTATATCAGCCCACTGCACTTTTGCCAGTGTTCTTTCTTGTACAAGATTCAGCAACAGGGAATTAATTTCCAGCATATTCACTCATTGACACACACCGTTTCCATTGCCGTCTCAAACCGACTCAATGCAAAAGGAAGGACGATCTCTGGCTCCACGTATGCCAGCTGGCGCACACAATTAGCAGCAGTCCCTGCCATTGTCCCGCTTTTGGAAAACTGTGCGCGTGCAACAAACTTCAAGACTGCAGTCACAAAGGCCTTCCTCTCAGCTTTACCCAGTGGTGGTCTGTAACCGGCAGCCTCACTCCACTCACCCCTGCATTGAATAAAAGAAAATTACCATGCCCAAGACAATACGAGGACAGAACATCAGAGACGATATATTTTTCTATTAAACCAAGCCCTAATCTCTGAGTCAATAAAGCACATCATCAACATAGGTCGCCTTTGTCAGGACAACGCTGCAAGTCATAACTGTAAGAAAGCACACTCAAGGTGTCTCGTACGGTTTGCATGAGACCGAGCCACTGACTATGCAATCTTGGATGCAATCTGCGACAGACACAGAGCAAGAAATGGGGAAAGAGTCTATGAGTGCAATTTGCCAGAGAAACGAATGTGGAGAGCCTTGGCAGAGAGCAGAGGATGAAAGCCTGCCAACAGACCAGAACTATAGGAAGCTTCCCTTGCTCATGTATTGAGTATGGTATCATGATAACATACGGTATGTCCATCACCACCTTTTCTTATGCTCTTCTTTCTTTCCTAGGTCCTCTTCTCCCTTCTGCATCGATTCTTGTATTCATTATTTATTTACAACACACCAATGATCACAATGCTCATCGCCATCATAATCCTGTCAAGTGCTCACCCTACTGCTGCTCCGAGTGAAACCAGCATGCATACAGGTTCTCATCTGGCGGTGCTTTTCTAAGATGCCCCCTGTTACTGCAAAACCAAGACGTTTGTGCTTGATTCGCCTCTTATCAGCATGCACGAACATTTCACTATCATTCTACACAGCTGCCTTCGGCGTCATTGGCTGAACATGGTCTGTGCTTTCTCATCGTGGTGTACTATGAGAACGTGGGCCACACTGCCTCGATCCTCGCGGCCCATAGCATATTTCACAGCACTATCATTGACTATCATCATCATCCATTCATCGCAATCACGGTCATGCTGCCATCACCTCAAATTCCTTCTCCTTTCCTTATCCCTTGCAATGCTGCAATGTGTACAACAATCCCGCAGCAACCTGATGAGCATCATAATCATTAAAAACACTTGACATAACCGAAGTCTGCTTTTCACCCCAGCAGTGGAAGCTGTGATTCGACGCCTCAAAAATCAACCCAATATATAATTAAAAAAATCCGTACAGCAAATTGGGAAAATTGTATCTTTGAGTCTTTGACAAATTTTACCAGGCCGAAGCAGAGTCCCCCAACTATTTTGAATTCTTTCTGTATTTTTTTGTAAACATCAAGAGGGTGGTGCCCAACCCCCACAATTCTTTCCTTGAGCAATCGTAGAAAATGAAGAGGGTGGTGCCCAACTAACTGTGTTCTTCGGGACATCCGTTAAAATTGGAACGATACAGAGAAGATTAGCACGGCCCCTGTGCAAGGATGACACGCATAAATCGAGAAATGGTCCAAATTAAAAAAAAAAAAAAAA